GTCAGGTGCACCTTAGTCCTCAAGCTGACATTTTACTCTTCAACACTTTCAAAAGGTCTTGTGCAGCAGATTTGCCTAATGCAATATGTCATTTGATTTCTTGACTGCTGCTTCCGTGAGTGTTGATAATTGATCCAGAAAGAATGAAGTCCTTGACAACTTCAATCTTTTCTCCGTTGATAAGAATATTATTTATTGGTCCAGTGGTGAGGATTTTTGTTTTCTTAACATTGAGGTGCAACCACACAAAAGGCTGTGGTCTTTGATCTTCAGTATTTAAAATCTTCACTTTCAGCAATCAAGGTTGTATCATCTGCATATGGTACGTTGTTAATGAGTCTTCTAAATTGATACCATGTTCTTCATATAATCTAGCTTCTCTGATTATTTGTTCCATAGGAGCTCTGGTAGTGTAGTGGTTACGAATAGGGCTGCGAACCTTAAGGTCAGCGGTTCGAAACTACCAGCCGCTCCGCGGGAGAAAGATGAGGCTTTCTACTCCCGTAAAGATTTACACCCTCGGAAACCCTGTACAGGGTCGCTATGGGTCGGAACCGACTCGACGGCACTTAACAACAACAACAACAAATACAGATTGCATAAGTATGGTAAAAGAATACAACCCTGGTGCACACCTTTCCTAATTTTAAAACATTCAATATCCCTTTGTTCTAACAACTGCTTCTTGCTCTATGTACAGGTTCCTCATGAGCACAATTTAGTGTTCTGGAATACCCATTCTTCACAAAGTTAGCTATAGTTTTTCATGATCCATGTAGTAGAATCAGTGTATAGCCATATTTTTTCATTAAAAAACTAAACGCAAAGCTTTACCAAACTTCAGATCATGTTTAAAAATCAGCTTCAGATAGAATTAAGAGGTAAATGTAAAAGTCAGATCATTAAGGCATTTAGAAGAGAGAATACCATCATGCTTAGGTAGGGAAATAGTTCTGACATAAAAAGTACTTAACTACCGTGAAGGAAAACACGGATTGAACTATATTGAAATGAAACATGTTTCTTCATGAAAAGTCACCACAAGAAAGGAAAAGTAAAGAAGTTTTGACAAGGAGAATGAATAGGATAGGTATAGTGTAGGAGAAGACATTTACAACACAAATAACCAACAAAAGTCACATACATAGAATATATAAAGAACATATATAAGAAAACGCTAACAATAGTGAAAAAGGCAACAGATTTGAAAAGGAACTTCACAAAAGACATCAAATGGTTAATAAATATGAAGACATACTCAGTCTTGTTTGAACTGGGAAATGCAAATTGAAATCATGATATGATATACTACTATTCACCTGTTAAAATTGTTAAGAGTTTAAAAGATTGACAATACTGAGTGTTGTCTAGGAACATATACAGTGAGAACTCATACATGACTTGTAAAAGTATAAATTATTAAAACCACAAATGCAATGTTAAACATGACCCAATGATTTTTTCCTAGTTATATGTTAGGTGCCATAGCGTAATTCCTACTCATAGTAACATTCACGTATAACAGAAAAAAACTCTTCCGAGTTTTGTGCCGTCCTCGTACTCATTGCTGGGTTTGAGCCCATTGTTATAGCCGCTGTGTCAGTGTATCCCCTTGAGGCGCTTCTTTTTTTGTGTTGAATTTCTTCAATGAACCAAGCAGGTGTTTTCCAGGACCGGGTTTCTCCTGATAGTTTGTCCAGTCTACATGAGAGGAAATCTAAGGAGACTTCTCTTTGTACTTCTCCCAAGACAGATTTGTTTGTTCTGGCAGTCTGTGGTATATTTAATATATTTTGCTAACACCAAAATTCGAAGACATCAGCACTACTTTGGTCTTCATTAGTCTTTCTTTGCCCAGCTTTTACATGCATATGTGGTGGTGGTGATTATGTGCCTGCCGTGGAGTTGGTTCCAACTTATAGCAGCCCCATACAGGATTTCTGAGGCTGTCAATCTTTATGGAAGCAGAAAGCCTCATCGGTCTCCTGTGGAACAGCTGGTAGTTTCGAACTGCTAACCTTAAGATTCACAGCCCGATTCATAACCATTATGCTACCAGAGCTCAGGTGATTGAAAATACATTGGCTTGGGTCAAGTGCACTGTAGTTCTCAAAGTGACATCTTTGCTTTTTAATACTTTCAAGAGGTCTCTTGCAACAGATTCACCCAGTACAATATGTGATTTGACTTCCTGACTGCTGCTGCCATGGGTGTTGATTGTGGATCCAAATAAAGTGATGTCCTTGACAACTTCAACATTTTCTTCCATTTATCTTGAGGTTGAGTTCTATTTCATGTTTATTAGTCCCTTGGCGATCCTCTTGTATAATATAAATAAATTTTAAGAAAAACCAAACCACCATGTGGGAGAAGATAGTTGCGACACATATAGCAAAGGATTTAAATAAAACATAGAATGTTTTGTTAAAAATTCCTATAAATCAAAAAGAAAAGCACAAAAAGAATGAACTCAATAGAGAAATGACAAAGGATAAGAAAAAGCAAATAACAAAAGTTGTTGATAGTTGCCTTTGAATCAACTCCAATTTATGGTGACTGTATCCAACAGAACAAAATGTTGCCCAGTCCTGTGCCGTCTTCCTGATGTGTAAATCCATCGTTACGGCAATTGAATCAGTTCATTTTGTTGAGGATTTCCCTTGCTTTCAGTGGCCCTCACTTTATGAAACATGATGTTTCGTTTTTTTAGGGATCTGTCCCTGGTAATGTTGCATTCAAACTAAAGGAATCAAACTTTAAGACATCATCTGTGATCCATAGGGCTTTCACTGGCTAACAGTTCATCATAGTCTGAAAACTCCACTGAAGCTTTTCCACTATGAGTGATGCTATTGGTATTTGAAATGCCAATAACATAGCTTCCTACACCATAGCAATATAAAAGCCAACAGTACAGCAAACTGAGGGATGGTAGAATTAACAGAATAAGCCTGAATTCTTTCATGTGAATACATATTAAAAGGAAATGCAAATTAAACTTTACTGAAATAACATTTCATTCTAATGAAACTGGCAGAATCCAAAATGCCTAACATTATGTGGCAACAGGATTAGAGAAAGACTTGCTAACAACCTGTGATATGCAGATGATACAACCTTGTTGCAGAAAGTAAAGATGACTTAAAATACTTACTGATGCAGATCAAAGACCACAGCCTTCAGCATGAGTTGTATCTCAATTTAAAGAATACAAAAGTCATCACCATTGGACCAATAAACAACATCTTTATAAATGGAGAAAA